GAGAGTGCACCCCCAGCGCGCTCACGTCCACGACGGCGTGTGGGCCGTATGCGAGGCAGACGGGGCCGGCGGCGCAGGCCAGCGCGGTCCACAGCGCATGCAGGGGGAGGGGAGACAGCACCACAAAGCTGCGCTGCTCCGCACCGCGGCGCAGCGCTTCGTCCTGGCGCTGGCGGCAGAAGACGAAGCCGTACAGCGAGCTTCCCCGGCGCGGCAGGCGGAAGAAGAAGCTTGAGTCGCGGATGGAGGCGGGCGCCAGCTGCTTCTGGGCGGTGGAGTCCTGCGGGTGAGGCGGGTGGCGTGGGCAACTCGAGGCTGTTGAGGGATGGGGTGAAGCCGACATGGCTCTGGGCACACCAGGCCTGTGCATCCATTGTAAAGTGCCCAGGACATCAGCAATGCATGTCCCTCCTCGTCCCCAGGTCTCACTGGGAATGCATGGTAGGCGACCCGCTGCTGATCGCCCTCACTCAGAGACGCAGGGGGGTGCAGACTCTCGATCTTCTGTCCCTGATCCAGATCGAAAATCACGGTGCACACCGCTGTGATCAGTTGCTGGGACCCCATTCCAGCAACCACCCAGTCAGCCCTTGGGGCCTGATGACTCACAAGGGGGGGGGGGGGGGGGGGGTGGCCCCCCCCCCCCCCCCGGTTTCCCCCCGCCCCCCCCCCCCCCTTCGCCGCAGACACGGAGCGACGCCCGGTCTCTGCCCCCCGCTCACACCGCACTGCATCGCCAGACCCTCCTCCCCGCACACACGGGAACCCCTCATCCTCCTCGCCCCTGTTCCCACACTTTGTTTTCCACGGCGCCCTCGGTCCGGCCCCTGGCTCGCCACGCAGTACGCGTCTTCCGGCTCTACCTCCCTTCCTGGCTCCCAACCCTGCACACCTGACGCGTGATCTTGCCCCGCCCCCCGCCCAGAGTGAGGGCAGGGGGTGGGGCACCCCCGACGGCCCCTGCGCGAGTGGGCGCAGGTCCCCTCAGCACCGCCACACCCCTCCAAACCAGACCGAGCCCTGCAGCTGGTTTTCCAGGCACCCGCGCGGCACCCGCTGCGCCGGGCGCAGCTGCCGCTCCGCCCCGCGCAAGAGGCGCACGGCAGCCCCCCCTTCGGCTCTGGGCCAGGAACCTCACGGGTCGGCGCCGGGCCCGGGCCCCCCTGTTCCCCTCGACAGCTGTCTTCCGGCGCACGAGCGGACTTCAACACCCCACCCCCCACCCCCCACCCGTGCTTGACCACGGCTGTGCGGCGCCGGCACGATGCACGCCGGCCGCCCATTGACCCGGGGACCGAGACTGGCCAGGCCCGATCACCCTGCCCCAAGCCGAGGGGGGCTCTGCCTGATGTGAGCAGAATTTCCGTACCGAATCCTTTTGAAAGAGCACCGAAGGACCCCCCACACGATGCCGACGGTGTTGCCCCAAACCTTTCCTACCCCTGGCCCTCCCGTGTAGCTCTAGATTTGCTGCGCCCAGCAACACAACAGCGCGGGTTTGGGGGGTTGTCAAGGTCAGGGGAAGGGGGGTGGAGCTGCGGCGCATCCCAGGCACCACCCCGGGGTCCCCGCTCGTTCAGAAGCCGTCGCTGGCGAGGAGGGAGTGCAGGGCCTCCACCACCGGGCTCCCCGCCAGGCTCAGCCCCGGATCGGCGATCTTGGCGGCGAGGAGGGAGGCGACCGCGGCGCGCAGGTCGCGCACGAGCACGCCGATCCTGGCGGGGGCCTTGAACCGCGCCCAGCCGCCGGCGGTGAGGGTCCCCGCCACGTGATCCACGCTGAGCTCGCCCGCGAAGAGCAGGATGGCGTAGGCCGGCACGGCGCTGCTGGCCCGGACGAAGACCTTGCTGGTGCGCACGATGTCGGAGTAGACCAGCCAGCCGGAGGGGAAGCGCCCCGCCCCAAAGTTGCAGGAGGAGGGGTGCAGGAACACGCGGCCGCGGCTGCGGTCATGGAAGCGCAGCTCGGCCGGGTCTGCGTCGATCTGCGCGGTGCCCCCGTGCACTCTTTGGAACTTGGGCGGCGGTGCGTCCACGCGCAGCAGGTTGGGGTACAGCCCCGCCGCCAGCGCGGCCTTGACCACGCGCGCCGAGGCGGCCGCCGCGTCCAACGCGTGTGGCGGGTCCCTGGAGGGCGGCGCATCCAGGCGCGCCAGGTAGCCGCCGTCCACAAAGCCCAGGGCCTGCAGGATGCCGGCCAGCTGGCGCCGGCCCGCCAGCACGCCCTCCATGCCCTGCTGCGACAGGAAGTTGTCACGCGCAAAGGCGCCTCGCGCGCCGGGGCCGCCCGCCGCGCGCCAGGCGTTGTACGCCGCGATCAGCGCCAGGTGGTCCGACTGCGACCCCGCCACCGAGGCCGTGAGCCGGCGTCGGGCCGCGTCGGCCTGTGTGGGGAGGGGGGAGGGGGGAGGAGGGCAGCATTTCTGTCATTTGTGTGGGGGATGCGCGGCGGGGGAGCCATCAGGTGGGCGGAGGTCTGGGGGGCGCAGCTGTGTGTGCATGCAGCCCGGGCGCGGGCCGTCGCCCACGCATCCCCTCCAAACACCACCTCCCACCTCCTCGCGGATGGCGTGGGCGGAGACGAACATGGGCCGGCCGTGTGCTAGGGCGGCTGCCATGGTCAGCACCGGGTCCAGGCAGCAGAGCAGGGCGCCGAAGATGAGCAGCTTTCCGATGGCCGGGTCGCAGGGCATGGCGGTCAGGTGGCGACCCAGCGGGGTCAGGACCAGGGGCGCGGCATGGTCGTCGCGCCCGTCGGGGCCCGCCACGGTTTCCAGCGCGCCGATGTCCAGCAGCATGTCCATGGCTGGGCGGCGAAGAAGTGGAGGGTGTGTGTGTGTGAGGGAGGTGGAAATTCAGGGGGGGCCGAGCACAGAGGTCAAGAGTGGGGCAGGGAGAGGCGCTCAGCAGGGAAGCAGTGGTAGCGCGACGAAAGCATCACGCGTCATGCAGGCGGGCCACGTGAGCAGGGAACGCACGCTGCGCCGCCCCGTTCCTCCCCCCGGCTCGACAACTCACCATGCTCGAGGGCGGCGGGGCGGGGTGGCGTGAGCATGGCGCGCGCGGCGGCCTCCACGTCGGCGGAGCTGCCTAGGATGCCCTTGATGTCTAGCACAAAGCCCTTCAGTCGGAGGAGGGGCGGGGGGAGAGGAGGGACGGAGGCCAGGTGAGTCAACGACGTCCATGTGCTAACAATGCAAGGAGGGCAGCCGCCGCCCTGTGCCGTGGCAGGCTGGGGTGCGGGCCTGCGCCAGCACCTCCCAAAAGCATCATTCCTCCTGGCCTCTCCATTCTCCACCTTTGTATCAGTCCCAGGGCGCGCCAAACCCACCTCTCCCACGTGTATCTACCTGCAGCGAGACGCGGTGGATCTCCGGCGCGGTGTTCTTCTCCAGCTTGCGCCACGTGGCGCGGCTGAACAGGCGCCAGCAGGTCCCAGGCCGTACGCGCCCCGCCCGCCCACGCCGCTGCTGCGCCGAGGCCTGCGACACCCAGGTCTCCGCCAGGCGGTTGAGGCCCTGGTCGGGGTCAAACGCCATCTCCTTCACCCGCCCCGTGTCGATGACGCACACCACATCGTCGATGGTGATGGAGGTCTCAGCCACGTTGGTGGCCACCACCACCTTGATGCAGCCTGCAGGGCGGGGGCAGGAGGTCAGCAGGGGAGGCATGTACCAGGGGCCAGGAGGGGCACAGAGGGGCGAGGAAAGTGGAGTGACGCCCCCGGCGGGCACGCGCCGGTCTCCCTCTGCCCAGCACCGCTCGATGCTTGACTGCACTCTGCGCCGTCGCACCTTTGGGCGGGCGCTGGAAGACGGCCGACTGCTGGGCGGGGGGCAGGCCACCGTGGAGGGGCAGCACGTGCAGGGGTTGGCGTGAGGAGCGCAGCTGGCGCACCACTTTGTCAATCTCCTCGGCGCCCGAGGCGAAGATGAGGATGGCCTGGGCCGGGCCCTTGGAGAACTTGGTGGCGATGACGTGCTCCACCACCGAGCCGATGAGCTCGTAGTTGATCGTGGCCTCGTCGATGGCCGCCAGCCCCGCCCGCGTCTGCTCGCTGTACTCCTCCAGCCCACGCGGGATGGGTGCCGCCTTGTCCTTGACCTCCTTCTTTCCACCCGGGCCGTCGCGGCTGCCGCCGTGGGAGGACGGCCGGGTGACCCTGAAACGCGTCTGCTCCAGGGCATCCTCCAGGTAGTACTCTGTGTGAGAGAAGGGTGGGATTGGGGGTGTGGACGGAGGAGAGGAGCGTGGCGGGGTGATGGGCAACCTTGCAGTCAAGACTGCTGGGCTCCATGGGAGTCCCCATTCCATGTGCCCCGCGGGCAGGTTTGGGGCAGGGACCGGTGTCAGCCTCCGCCAGACCGGGGCCACACGCCCATGTGATTTTTGGCACAGGCGCCAGGAAATCCCGGGCTCCCCGCGTGCAGGCAGGGCCCCCTGTGGCTGGCACGGTCCCACCCAGCGACTCACCGGTGACGGGATGGGTGAACCCCGGGATGACCACCCGCGCGGTGGGCTGCCCCAGGGCCTCCTCAAAGTATGCCGCAAACAGGTCGGCATCCGCTGTGGCAGACATGAGCACCACCTTGAGGTCCGGGTTCCTGCCTGCAGGATTGGGGGGTGGGTGCAAGGAGGCCGCAAGGCATGGTGTGGAGGGGCCAGACCAGCGTTTCGAGCGGCATCGCTGGTGCAGGCCGGTGCACCCCCAGCGTCGCTGACGGCTGCGCAGTCGCGAGTATCGACGGCGCCTGGCCAGCATGCTCGCACTGCGCGGTCGCCACCAGTCCAACACCCACCAGTCTCAACCCACCCGACTGGAGCAGCTTCTTGAGGAGGAGCAGCAGCAGGTCGGACTCCAGGCTTCGCTCGTGCACCTCGTCCAGGATCACGTGCGTCGTGCCCTCCAGGCCGGGGTCGTTGAGCAGGCGGCGCAGCAAAATGCCTGGGGCGGGCCGGGCGAGGGTGGGAAGGTGGGGGGTGAGGCTGGGTGGGCGAGGCCGGGCGGTGGGCGGGGCAGGTAGGGTGCCTGCTGCGATATGGGTGCCTCGACACGGCGCAGCGTGCCTTGAGGTGCCGCAGGCCAAAGATTGGAGCGAGCTGGAAAGACCCGTGGATGCATGATCGGCCTGGCCTGACGACAATGGAGGGCAGTGAGCGCGCCCCACGACCCCCCCCCCCTTGACCTTCCCAAGGAACCCACAAATCCACCCACCCGTGGTGCAGAAGAGGAGGCGGGTGCGGGCGCTGCGCTTGGAGTCGAGCTTGACCGCGTGGCCCACGACCTCGCCCGCCGCCTCGCCCCGCTCTGCCGCCACGCGTGCCGCCAGGCCCACGGCGGAGATGCGGCGGGGCTGGGTGACCACGACGTCGAGCGCGCCGCCCGCCCCGCGCGCCACGGCGTCCTCCAGCAGAAACTGTGGGACCTGGGTGGACTTGCCGCAGCCCGTGGCGCCCTCCACCACCAGCACGGCGGCGCCGGCCAGCCCCTCCAGGACGGCCTCCCGCTGCGCGGCGGCGGGCAGCGCGGCGCGCACGGCGCGCATGCCCGCATGCTGTGCGTCCGACCGCCACTGCGCCAGCGCGCGCTGCAGCGCCACGCTCTCCTCCCGCACCCGGGCCGGGTTGGGGGCGGCGGGGCGGTAGGCGGGGCGCGGGCGCGCAGGGCGCGCGTCGCTGCGCCGGGGCGCGGGGGACGCCCCATGCGCGTCGCCGCCGTCGGTGCTGGCCGCCGCAGCGGGTGGAAAGGGGAGCGGGGTGGCCAGAGCCTTGGGCACCAGCGCCTGCACCGCCTGCGCCAGCTCGAACACCATGGGCTGGCCCAGCAGGCCCAGCGCCCGCTCGTGCAGCGCCCGCGTCAGCGCCAGCGTCGCGCCTGGGGGCAGGGCCGCACATCTGGCGAGTGTTTGTGTGGGTGGGGGGATGGGTGGGGGGGGATAACATTGATGGCGGGACGGTGAGGGGTTTCGGGTGACTTGCACTTGCTAAGTCAAGAATCACACACGCAGAGAGGAGCCGCCTCAGCCCTACGACCAGGCTTTCTCCCCCTCACCTGACGCTGAGAACGGGGGCCTGGAAGGGGTAGCGTGGCGCGGCGTCGCCGGTCCACACGGTGAGGTGCAAGGAGCTGGGGTCGGGCGCCTCCTGGTCGATGTCCAGCGACAGGCGGAGGTCGAGGGAGGCCGGGCCGACCGTGACGTCCTCTTCGCCAAAGATGGACTGGATGGCGGCGACCTCCTCCTCCCACATGTTTGAGCAGTCGTCGGAACGCGGCGGCAGGTCAGTGGCGCTCTCAGTCAGGCCCTTGTTTACAGCTGTGAGGGTGGGCGTAAGGGATTGGGAATAGTTGCAGTGGGGACTCGATAATGTTGAAGGCATGGCTCAATGCAGGCGTGGTCAGAAGCAGTGTGCCGGTCCAGCATCCCAGCAGACACCAACCACCACACCACCCCCAGACCTGTCAGCATGGCGAAGAGGAGCCTGCGCGCGGCCTCCACGGCCCCGCTGCCCTCCGCCACGGCCCGCATGACCTCTGGCAGGGGGTAGCCGCAGTCGATCAGCTCGGCAACGGCGGGGTCCTCCAGGGCGATGGCCTCTGCCTCGGCCGCGCTGGTCCAGCCGTTGCCGCGATTGAGCACCTCGGGCGCCTTGCCCGCCGCGCCTGCGGCGGGCAGGGGGTGGGAGGTCCAGCATGTATGCAAGACCACATGCAAGATCAAGATCTATGAACACAGGCAGGGAAGGGGATGCGTTCAAGCAGCAGGGCGGGTGTTCATAGCATGCATGCCTGTCGCTCAGAGTCAGACACACACGCAGCGCCCTGCCACCAGGAAGCCCATCTCCAGCCCCTTCCCACACATGCCAACAGATTCCAGCAACTCCCCACCGGGCGCAAATCTGGTGGGCAGCTCCTCCTCCGGTATGTTGAGGCATAGCCAGTCCAGGGCCTGCATCAGCGAGACCGCGGGCCCCAGCACCTGCATGGCAGTGGCGACGGCCGCCTCGCTGAACCCCAGCCGCCTCGCCTCACTCGCGACGGAGCTGCCCTCAGGGACGGGCCCCGCATCGATTCCGAGGCGCCCGCCCTCGCCATCCCGCACGCTGAGGTCGGCCAGGAGGTCGGCCACGGCGCGGCGGTGCTGGTCCGTCATGATGACGGCGGAGGGCGCGTGGCGGGCCGCCCGGGCCACGGCCGCCTTCTCCCTGGCCGCCGCCCTTTCCTTGCGGGCCGCAGCGGCCACCGCGCGGGCCTTGGACTCCTCGGCCTGCAGTGTTGTACAGGAGGGAGAGGGGCCTGGGCGGGGCAAGATCTCCTTGCCGGCTCACACGCAGCAAGGGACATGCAAAGTTCACCCTCCCAGGCCAGGCCCCACCAGTCTCCCACCCAACTCCCTGCAGGGGCCTGCGCTGGCCCCACCCCCTCACTCCTAAAACCCCCTTCAGGTCCACAGTACCTTGTGGCCCAGCTCCTTCCACAGCCCACGGTATTGCTCGGGGAGGAGGGAGTGCAGGGACCTGTCCCCTGCCAGGCGGTGCAGGCCCACCACCGCGCCACGCTGCAGCGCCTCCTCCTCCGTCTCCGCGGCCGCCTCCTCCGCCAGGAACATGATGGCGTCGGCCTCCGCCTGGCGCGGGTGTGGCAGGACCACGCGACACCGCCACCGCCCAGGCGCGGCGGCCGGCACTGCCTTGTAGCGCGGCTTGGGGAGCTTCTCCTTCAGGCACCACTCGTGCAGCAGGAGCTTGGGCGACTTGCCGGCGTAGTACCCGCCCTTGCTGCCAACGTCCATGAGTGGGGCGGGGGCGGCGGGCGCCGGCCTGGCAGCCGGGGCTGCGGTTGCAGCAGTTGTGGGCTCCTCCCCCGGGGCAGCCTCGGCATGTTGCTTCTTGATGTGCTCCTGCAGTCGGTTGGCCTGCTTGTACACCTTGTCGCAGTGGGGACAGGTCACCTCCTGCCCACGCTTATCGACCACTGCAGGGCCCTTGGTCCCTCCCCCACCGCCAGAGCTGTTCGTAAGGGGGGAGGGTATGCAAGGGGAGGGAATGAGGAGGGATTTGAAGGTTTATGATACATTTAGCGCATCCCGACGTTCCCATAAATGCACGCCCATCGACGAGCCTGCATGAGTTGTCAGCACCACCGACCTGAACACTTTAGCGGATGCTCGCTTGGCATCTCTGTTGCGCACCCCCCCCATACCCTTAATTCCATGTCACTTTTGGGCGAGAGTGTCACAGCTCCAAGAGGCTCATATAGTCTCGAAGCTCTAGTGCGCAGTACTCGCGGTTTTTTAAAAGCCAAACAGCGCGCGCGAGAGAGATCCTCCGCCGCCGCACCGCACGAGAGTGGTGCTGGTTGAGAAAGGATGGTGACCTCTCTGAAAAGATTCTAAAGGTGATATCAAGGTGCAGGAGGGACAGCATCATCAGACAGCAGGTGAGAGAGATCAGGAAGGGAGTCCAGGATGGCCAGGGCCGGATGCGGGGAATCCGATGGGAGGTCTTTGGGTGCCCCATTCACAGAGTCCCTCATGTCAGGCTGTATCACTGAGGATGTCCCGGCTCCGAGCATGTCTGTGGGGGGGTCAGTCTTGGCGGCCGGCTCGCTGAAGTATGGCACGATTGTGTCTCCACCCAGACCCACGGGAAGGGATTCAGGAACACCCTCCACCGGGGCCTCCTCAAAATTGGACCAGTCCTCTGAAAGGTCTCCAATGGCAGCCGCCTCTCTGCTAAGCGATTGAAACTCCCTGTCGGCGAGCGTGGGCTCCACAACCGGTTCCAAAGCTTGACCTGCTCCAGCCTCCCTGCCCACGGGTGGACCATTTCCAGCCAGGAAGGGCTCCATGAGCGAGGCAGAGGCACCTCCTCCCTCGCCAGCGGTGGAGGTGCCGCCCATTGACGCCTCGCCAGCGTGAGTGGATCCCCCGACTGCTGCTGAGGAATCAGGGTTGCCCCCACTCTCTTCAGAGGTCTCCTCGTGCTCCACCCAGTGCTGTCCCTGAGGGGGGGGGGGGAGTGTGGGAGGATTGGCCATCGAGCAAGCTAAAAGGGTTTCAATGACACACCAGTTTGCCGGTAGCCTGGGATCGCCAGGGAGCGTCCCAACACATGCCAGGACCCGAGCAGTGTTACTTTCGCCTCATGCCCACCCCCCTACCTACCTCACTGGACCATGCCTCCTGCAGGGTGTGCTCAGGCAGGTCCTGGTCGCCCTCAGCTGCCTTCTGGGACGGCACGCCTGCGACTTCATGTGGTGCTGGTGGCAGCGCGGATTTATGGCCCCAGGAAAACCTGCCCTCCAGCCGGCCCTGACTCGTCTGCGCCGTTTTGGGCACGGGCAGACCCTGTAATCAAGGGGTTGTGCAGGGTTGGACATTCAATGCCAGATCCCGGGCACTGTGGCATCTGGAGACAAGGGCCTTAGCCTGTGGCAACATGGCTGAAGGGGCATGCATCCCCACAGTGTCCAGGATGCTGCAGCATTGCTCCGGTGCAGCTGTACTCCCAAGCGCCGCAGGGACATTGACGACGCCACCCAGTGCATCCAGGCGATGCAGAGTGAGTACCACCTAGGGCACTCCAATGATCACAATCGTACCATGCTGTTGAGGAAGCGTGCCCCCGCTGGCAGGTGCTGCCATAAAGGCATAGGCGGCTCGGTGTCCAGCGTCACGTGGCGCGGGTCCCATGCTCTGAGGCCGGGATACGCAGCCTCGAGCTCGTCCAGGGAGGGAGCTGCGCAGAGGCCGGCGCCAGGGTACAGGAGATCCTGGAGGAATCGGTCATCCACTACCCCACCAGTCGCATCCTTGAAGGGGTCACAGGGTGACGCTTCCGGCACCCCGGTGGAAGACCTTTGCGCCTCTGTGGCATCTGGCTCTTGATCCAGGACTTCTGCATTGGCACACATATGACTGTTTGAAGCGTTCAAGACTGCATTCCTCTTTTGGCAAGGTGGTCTGGACTCCATAACTGGCCACCAGGCTGCAGAATCACCTTCCCACGCACCTGCTTCTTGAAATTCCTCCACAAAGTCATCAAATTCTCCAAACTCGTCGAGGTCCGACTCAGGCCCTTGTGCTTGTTGCACTGGAGCAGCATCTTCGCTTGACGCTGCAGCCTCATCCTCCTCTGAGCCCGTCTGCTGGGACTTTGCAGCTGAGCTGACCCCCTCCGCTGCATCAGACTTTTGAGAGTCTGGTGGCTCATCAGGGGAAGGTGCACTATCGGAAGATGAACAATGTATGGCTGTAGAGCGTAACGTCGGTGGGTCTCCACTCAAGGTGAGGACGACGTTGCTACCGTCAGAGAGCTCTGCTGTGTCACCAGCTTCTCCTATGCCAACATCACTGGAGACAACTTCATCCGAGCTGGTGGGGGCCTCATACTCCTGATCGACTGTTTTTGTGGCTGGATCCTCCAGTCGTGAGGCAGTTGCCTCTTCTCCATGAGACAGATCGTCCGCCATCGGCACCAATCCTGCCTGGTCAAGGGGTAGGGGAGTCTCTATAAGTTAATGCTACGATTGTACTGCAGCAGTCTGAAACATCGTAGACTATCTGATACATGTCTCAAATTTTATAGAATGAACGCATCTGCCCGCGCTACGCACCGCGTTCAGCCTGCTGCTGGGGAGAGTGCTGACCTCTCCTCCACCCAGGAGGAGGATCGATCAAGCCTTGCCTGCACCAGTTCTAAGGTGTTGAAAGTCTAGTTCGATTGCATTTGACTTGGAGCTGTTCCAAAGATAGAGAGTCATACACACGATGCAAACTTCATGGAGCATCTGTTGGACTCACGATCTCCGGCGTGGCGTCACGTCAGCAAGCCATCCAACGTGCCGAGGAAGCGGCAGCGATATATCAGGCTCTACCCCCTAGATGCAAATTCAGCTACCATCGAAATCATGCAGGCTTGCGTGCGACATCTCGCGAGATCCGCACCAGTAACTTGGTCATCAGTTTGCTCGTCTGTTCCTGCTGCTCTCCTCCACCTCCGACAGTATTCAGAGGCACAGCCCAGTCAAACTGACGATGCGGAACCTGTGCGTGACCAGATAGAATTCAACACTTTGTCCACCCCAAGCTGCATTCTCAATGAGGACTACCCCCAGATCCAGTTTACTTCTCCATTCCTCTTCACAAAGGACGGTGAGCTGGGGTGACGCTGGTCTCAGGGAGGCCGTTTACTGGCAATCTGTGACCTCACAGCATTACAAGGTTAATCAATCAAACCCACATCCAACAGATGTGTTCATGCCAAGGGCGGTGGGCAAGCCCATGGCGACGTGGACTGCGCCGCTGATCGAGATCAGGAAGTACTTGAATGTGAGTCGAGTTCTGGACCGTAAGCAGAGTACGCTGGCCGCTGCTTGTTTTCTGTTCCTGATGCAGTCTCGTGTCGTGGACCGATTCCTGCATGCCGATCCCCCTCTACCTCAGAACACGGTGATGTCCAAGCTCCTGCAAAGCAAGTATGACCAGACAGCCAAGAGGAAGGACCTGGAAAGCGGGGCATGGCAGGCCCTGGAGTCAAGTGCGTCTGTATGTGAGACAATATGTGGGCCACATTGATCACTCTGAATGCTTGGAAGGGTGGTTCAGGGAACCTTGAGTGGGTCCCTGCCATGAAGCTGGCCCGTGGCATCTACCCCTGCCGGTTGCCCTTCACATGCCCCGGAATTTAAGCAAGCCTTCCTGTCGCACCCCCAGCCGTGGAGGCATACAACACGGGCGACTTTGATATGCTGTCTGAGTTTGCAGACTACGAGCTGGTGGGGGAGTTGCGCCGCAACTACACCCACACAATGGGGACCAAGGGCATGGAGGAGAAGGGCGTTCGGTTCAGGATTGCTGACCGGAGCAGCCTCATTCTCACTGACGTCCTGGAGCGGACGCGGACCCCAGAGGGCAGGTGTGTTGCGTGGCATTGGAAGTCAGGGTACCATGGGTGCTGCAGGGAGGCTGGGCAGCAATGCTGTGCCTCCCTCCTATGCCTAGACCACTGGTATTATCCAAGTGTTGGCCTCTGATTTCTGCCTCAGCTCGGCAGCGCCTCGCCCACCAGGTGGGTGAAGGAAGCTGCCGAGGGTTCGAGCTCGGGCGTGAGTCCGCAGCCCCTCCTGGACGGCCCAGAGCCCGAGCGCTTCTGCTTCCTGTATGTTTTGTACGACTGCGACCTGCGGGCAGACATCTACAGGAAGAGTGACAAGGCGGTGCTGCGGGAGGTCGTGCTGCCACGGCCATATGCAGCCGCGTTCCGCAGGGGACCCCTCCCCCTCAGCCTCCCGGCAGGCTCTCTGGAGGCAGACTGGGAGCTGGTGTGCTTGAGACGAACAAATCTGGGTGCAGATGTGCAAGTGGAATGAATGTAGAAAGCTTTTAGGAAACGTAACATTTATGGACGAAAGGTATGTCATGATTTTTGGGCGCGAGCGGGTCCCGTTGCTCCTCCTCGAATGTGTGGGCAGGATGCAGGCCCTGGAGAGGAGGGTGCCTACAAATAATAGATTCAGAAATTTTATTCTTCGATCATTTTTCCTTACGACACTTCAAGATGGCCGCAAGAGTGGCGAGTCACAGATTCGCCCAGGCTGCCACCAGGGCCTGGAGTTTTGGCAGCAGGAACCCCGGCCCCGTGCTAGCGAGCCAGGCGCGGGGCATGGCCGCCCAGGCAGAGCCCTCAGTTGGTAAGCTGGATCACATTGCAAATGGGAACCCCGAGGGCCAGGACCTGGCGCGCCTATGTCACGCTGGGGGTGCCAGCATCAGGTCGGCAGCATCCATGCACGCGCCCTCCCCACTCTCTCCAACTCGCAGACGCCAGCGATGTCAGCGACTTTGTTCTGGAGAAAAAGGGCATCCGCGTGCGCGGCACGCCCATGTACCTGGACATGCAGGCCACGACCCCCGTGGACCCTCGGGTGACGGACGCCATGATCCCCTACTTCACGGAGCTGTATGGCAACCCCCACTCTCGCACCCACTTCCTAGGATGGGAGGCAGAGGACGCCGTGGAGAAGGCGCGGGCCCAGGTGCGGCGGTGTGTTGTGGGAGGGATGGGAAATTGACTGCTGGGCTGCTCCTTGTTTTTCTCCTCCGGCCATACAGTCTGTGCCTCAGGAGTGATCAAAGGGGAGGGCCCCTGGTCCTCACCAGCAGGAACAAAGCCCTCACCACACATCTGTTCATCTGGACTCCCTCCAATCCCTCGCACATCCCCCCCCCCTCCCCCAGGTGGCTGGCCTGATTGGGGCCGACCCCAAGGAGATCGTGTTCACCTCGGGCGCGACGGAGTCCAACAACCTGGCGATCAAGGGCGTGGCGGGTTTCTACCGGGACAGGAAGCGCCACATCGTGACCACCCAGACCGAGCACAAGTGCGTGCTGGACTCGAGCCGGTACCTGCAAAACCGCGGGTTTGAGGTGACCTACCTCCCCGTGGGCCCCTCGGGCCTCGTGTCTGTGCAGGCGCTGGCCGACGCGCTGCGCCCCGACACCGCGCTCGTGTCGGTGATGGCGGTGAACAACGAGATCGGCACGGTGCAGCCTCTGGCGGAGATCGGCGCGCTGTGCCGGCAGCGCAAAGTCTTCTTTCACACCGACGCCGCGCAGGCGGTGGGCAAGCTGCCGTTGGACGTCGACGCCATGAAGATCGACCTGCTGTCCATCTCGGGGCACAAGCTGTACGGGCCCAAGGGCGTAGGCGCGCTCTATGTCCGGCGCCGGCCGCGCGTGCGCCTGGAGGCCCAGATCTCCGGCGGCGGGCAGGAGCGGGGGCTGAGGTCCGGCACCCTGCCCACGCCGCTGATTGTGGGCCTGGGCAAGGCCTGCGAGATCGCGGGGGAGGAGATGGAGGCCGACAGCCGGCACATCCAGGGGCTGGCGCGGCGCCTCTACGACGGCATCACCAGCCAGCTCGCGGTGTGTGTTTGTGTGTTTTGGGGAGGGGGGATGATGGTTCGGAGGAAGGCACGGAATTCTTTGCGTGCGGTGGCTTGTGGAGCTTGCAGATGGCTGTCCATGCACGATCGCAAGGAGGTGGTCAGGCATGGAATGGGAGGCAAGGCCCCTGGCTCTTCTTCTTGCTACTTCTCGCTGCTTCCTCAGGCTTTGCCCCAAGCAGCACTCTGCAGTGCATCTCGGTGGTTGGGCAGGGCCAGGGCACCCCGCCGCGTGCAGGCCACGCTTTGTCACGCTTTGAATTCTCCAACAGCACAGCCCGCACCCACTGCTCGCACCCACCCACCCACCCACCCGCAACCTCGCAGGGCGTGGTGCTAAACGGCGACGAGCAGGCGCGTTACTGGGGCAACGTCAATCTCTCCTTTGCGTATGTAGAGGGCGAGTCGCTGCTGATGGGCCTCAAGGACGTGGCGGTGTCCAGTGGGTCGGCCTGCACCTCTGCCAGCCTGGAGCCGTCCTACGTCCTGCGCGCACTGGGGGTGGAGGAGGACATGGCGCACACCAGCATCCGGTTTGGGCTGGGGCGCTTCACCACCGCCGCTGAGGTGGACGCGGCCGTGGAAGCCACCGTGCGCCACGTCAACAAGCTGCGCGAGATGAGCCCGCTGTGGGAGATGGTGCAGGAGGGCGTTGACATCAAGTCCATCCAGTGGAGCCAGCACTGAGCGCTGGGTGTTCGTGTGGGCCGGCATGCCGCGGAGAGGCGTAGGAGTGGACGTGAGGGCATGGAACCTGGCGTCACTCCGAATGCCTCATGTGTGCCTTTGTTCCAATATCTTTGGGGCCCAATCCCTTGGCACGTTGTAAGAGAATAAGCTGAGGATCAGGGGTTGAACCAAAGTGACATGGCTCCTCTGATACAGGGGATGGGCGATGCTCGATGGGCCGACCAGGAACATGAGATGGGACTGCACCGAGGGGCAATGGCCCCCTTGCAGGGCATGCGCAATGCATTTTTCGCATGCGTGCAGGTCCGATTCTCGAACGGATAGTGAAAAGTATGGAGAACATTCATTGCCTCGCGCAAATGAGTGATTCGCATCTCATGCTGTCTCGATCTGTCGTCCCATGCGCATTGAAAGTCGGCCTGGCCTGGTACACACATCATGATCGAACAAATGCCCATGACAGCTCGCACGTTGGCCACTCCTTGTCCGTGAAGACACTGTCCTCGACGTCCTCTCATACGACTTGAGCTCTGGTGCTTCTGCCAACATGAACGTGCACAAGCGCATTCTCCAATCCACAATGCCGTGAAGACATCCTGCCGTGATGCTCCTCGAGCGCATTGCATGGCGCCCCCGCATGGCCATTCCTCACACATCTTCACGAGGACCCCGCCAGACATCATGCCCACGCCGTGCGGCATTCCTCATCTGCGCCAGCAAACGCAGGGACGTGGACATGATGCGCTTCACCCTGGGCATTCCGGGTTTTGATGATGCCCAGATACCCAGGATCATAGGGCTGGCAGGGGGCAGCCTCCTCATCGCCAATCATGTGCTCGGATCCCAGCCCACTCCCCTGGCCCAGGTATGAATGGGTGGGGAGAAGCATTGCTCATGGTGTCGGAGGACCGCACCCACTTTCACCCAGCTTATCAAAGATGCTTGTTTCTATGTTGAGAAACAACCGCCTCATGCACATGTCACCCTTCCACATCTCTGTGCAGACTTTGGCCGAGGTCTTGGGCCTGGCGCTGGCGAGCCTCGCCTTCGCCATCCCAAACTTGGATGCCTGGGTCAATGGGGGGAAGCAGGCTGCTAGTGCGACCATCACAGGTGCTCGCAACGTCTTCAGCTTGGCAGAGGATCTCAGCGAGGATGCCAAAGTGGTGCGTGCCCGGTGAATTAGCCGAGTGGGCGTTGTGGCGCCTTGTTGATTGCATGCATTTGAGTGTGCAGCAGACAGGGATCCCACGGCCAGCTGAGGCAACCCTCACTTTCCCTGTCCCCGACAGGAACTGGCGTGGGCTTCGTACGTCCTGCTGTTGAATACGGGCATCGCTGGGCTGGGTATGGTGGCTGGAGATCGCATCTTGCTCCTCCGGGGCCAGGTTGCAGGCACAGCACCGGCGCTCGAAGACGGCGCCGGCGGCGATTTGAGGGCGCAGACCCGGGGCGCAGATGCCGGGGATGGCGACCGACCCAGCTTTGTCCCTGCCTCCATGCAAAATCTCCTGGTGAAGGCGTTCACGACCAGGCACGGGCAAGCCCCCTCGCGTCTGTATGTCTGGACGGCGGACGGTCAAAGTTTGCCGCCAAACGACATCGTATGGCTGGATGCACTGGTGACCAAGCTTGCCCGTGCTCTGTGACATGCAGGATTAGACTGTTGCAGGCTGATGGGTGCGGCTCCTCTTGTTGAGAGCACTTTGCTGCACATGTGCTGGAACTGCTGCAGCCATGTGCCTGATCCGAGTCTGAAAACTATCGAGTGAACACCAGGCATGAGACAGAGAGTGTGCGCGGAGGGCCGCCTGCCTGGCGTCCGGCCGCAGTGCTGTACTGAGAGGCGCTGTGCCATGAGGCTGGCATGCAATGCACACAAAGGGCCAATGGGTCGGTATGGAGACTTCCATTGCCAGCCGCCCCCTCCAGTGCCGGCCTAGGCAGCCCTCAAACTGCCTGCACGCCTTGCAGCGCCTTCTTGACGGCGGCGTCGATGCGCCCTTGCAACGCAGCGTCCCCCAGCCGCTGCACGACCTCGCGCCCAAAGGAGTCCACGAGGATTCGCCGGGCGGCCGTGGCGTCGATGCCACGCGAGCTGCGTGCGTGCGATGATGGAGGGGGGATGTGGGGGGCGCGTGACCGAAACAGGCTGGCTGCGCCCCCGGGCAACAGGCGGATACTCGGTGGTGAGCGACACGACCACCCTCAAGCGAGGGAGCAGGTGGAGAGGGGGATCAGCACATGGTGTGACCTTGCGAGCACACCTGCTGCTCCTCCCCCCCTCCACCCTCGCAATCACTCCCCCAGCCACACCTCAGGTAAAACAGCTGGTCCTCCTCCAGGTCAGAGATGGCGGCGCCGTGGGTGCACTTGACGTCGTCGGCCACGATCTGCAGGTTGGGCTTCACGTTCACCGTGGCCCGCGGCGCCAGCAGCAGGTTGCGGCTGATCTGGGCCGCGTCGGTTTGCTGCGCGCCGCGGTTTACGCGCACATTGCCGTCGAAGACGCCCCGGGAGCGCCCGTCGGCGACGATGCACCTGCAAGGAGGGGGAGAAGGGGGGTTGGGGGGGGGAGGGTCTCAGGAAACTGAGAAGAGCAGCGGCCGGAAGGTCTATCCAGGCAGGGCACACTGCACAGGCCTTTGAGGTGAGCAGACGAGTCGCTGGACACTGGCTGCAGAGACAGGCTCAGTTTGGTGAGGACGGGCGTCCACCGACTCTGCGCCCAGCCCGCGAGGGGGACAGCCCCGGCGTCGCCCGGCCCGATGCCGAACAGCCATCCCACTCGCACTTGTGCAGCTGGTCGGCCTGTCCGGCGGGGTGGTCCAGCGTGAGCTTGGAGTGCAGGTCGTGCAGCTGGGCCTGGGAAGCCAGCAGGAAGCTGGCCAGCCGCGTCTGCGTGGCTGCGCCCAGCTGCACGATGCTGAGGTCATGCCGCGTCAGCGCGCCGCCCAGGCGCGCCTCCGTCAGGCTGTAGGAGCTCTCAGCGCCCTGGCGAGGGGGATGTGTGGGGTGGGGGGTGGTGCAGGTTTGGGGGGCCAAAGGGAAAATGGTGTGCAGAGGTCCGGTGGG